GGGGGGGGGGGGGGGGGGGGGGGGGATCGTGTCTTGAAACCATCGCTATCGACCACGCGCCTTCGTAAAACAATAGGAACGACCATCGACCATTCGAATGTAACGATCACGGGTGCTGTTGGGGGGAGGGGGGGGGCACGCGAAATCCAACATGGAAGCACTGCCCCAAACAGGATTAAGGACCAAATCGAGCGAGGAGGCGAGGGGGGTGTAATCATGTAAACGCATGCCGTAGTCCTTAGACCATTGACCTCGCACCCCTACAATACCGAGACGGAGCACGATACGCCGGGTTTTCGCCGGCCTAGGCTACGTTTCACAAGGATGACCCAGAACCTGCTGGGGTGGGGGGGATCGGGATTTAGTGTGATGATGATGGGGGGGTGGGTGGGTGGGGGGGGGGGGGGGGGATACAACCAAACAAAAAACCGGCAGCCAACCAAAAAAATAAAAGTCACCTGTTCTCTACGGTGATGACGACCTCACCTGTTCTCTACGGTGATGACGACCAAACCTGTTCTCTACGGTGATGACGACCTCACCTGTTCTCTACGGTGATGACGACCTCTCCGTCCGCACTGGCGACGCTGATACCGATCGGGGAAGACCCCGACCCTGACGGAGTGAGCAGGTCCCCCTCCGCGGGCCTGGACAGCAGAGCCGCCATGACCGCGTAGGCGTCGCCGCCGGAGGAGGTCCGACTCGACGCGCGCATGATGTCGTGGCACACCTGCTTCCACAAGATTCCACCACAAGCACCCACGAGAACCCACGCCCACAAACGCAACGCATCCGAAACATTAAAAAAAAAAAAGAAGGAAGTGGGTGAGAGAGTGCGTGATTTGTCTAGAGTACATAGCGCTGGCTGGCGACCAAAGCGAAAACAACAAAGAAAAAATTCCTCCTACAAGTAACGAAGTACTCCAATGAAAATTGTTTCAGATGCGGTTCGTACCATGAGCCCGAAAAACATTTACATACCGCTACAACCATATTTCTGTAAAAAAAAAAAAACACTGTCCCTCACCATTCTCAGCAAGGTTTAGACTCTCATAACGAGCGCAAGTGCGCCCGAAAGCAAGACACATACAACACATTCGCATTCAGCGCGATGCGAAAATTTCAAATCTTGGCCCGCTCCCTTTCATGGACCGTTATTCCTTACCCGCCGGTATAGACGTCTTGTCATTGATCAGCTGGTTAGCGCGCCCAATGCTCACTAAAAAACTACACGCTGAAACACACACAAAACGATGCCACAAAAGAGTTGTGCGCACGAGGAAGAAAACAGATGAAGCAACAAAATGAACAGGGGGCCGGAACGACCGCGAGTACGTACAAAAGTACAAGCCTTAGCCTTGGTAGACACACAGTTTTCCTCGTTTGCTACCGTCTCTGTCTTCCATCCGGAGAGAGCAGCTTAGCCTCCTCCATGACGCCCCCTCACAGGGTCCCAGATCATATCGCCTTCAGAAGCATTTCTGTTTCTCAGCCGCAGTGAGACTAGCGTCTTTTCATTGGTCAGCCGACTAGCGCGGTCGATCCTACCAATACCAACAATGACCAACACATATCACACCAACACATAAACACGTGCTGAGACCGACGTCTTTTCATTGGTCAGCCGGTTGCGCGGATCGACGCTATTACTAATAAAGGCACACGCGGCTACAACGGTTACGACGACATCCTCACGCACCGCTCTCGTGAGGGTCTCGTCCCCCACCACGAGCGGGTCTATCAGGCCGCGCAGCGTCTCGAGAAGCTCGTCCACGTTGCCCTCGAACAGACGTCCGTTCATCTGTACCATCACGACCACCACGACGATGACGATGAGTAGTAGCAGTAGTAGTAGTAGCAGTAGTAGTAGTAGTAGTAGTAGTAGTAGCAGTAGTAGTAGTAGTAGTAGTAGGAGGAGGAGGAGGAGGAGGTAGTAGTAGCAGTAGTAGAAGTAGTAGTATACAGTAGGAGGAGGAGGAGAAGGGGGTGGAGGGGGAGGAGGAGGACAATTAGAAAACACAAGCACACACCTCTTGAGACAAAAAAAAAACAGCAACAAGTGTGAATTGAAGTTTACCGCTACCGCGCGTAAAGACGACAAGACGTTTGGCCACAAGAGCATACACAACCAGGTAGCGGTGGAACTACGCGCTCGGGGTGAATGGCAAGCTGGGTTATTCCAAGGACGCATGTGCCTACAGATAAAAAAACCCGATGAATTGCACGTGTGGATCGATAGAGAGATTTACTTTTGTGCTTCGTTGTTGCCCCGCAGAACAAACGGGACCAAGGGGGAAAAGAAACCCGGCAACGACCGTCCACGCAAAATCCAGGCAGACTAGAACAAAAGCAAACACGCCGGCAGCAGCAGGAGTTTCCCTGGCTCCTGAGAACAGATGGGAGAAGAAACAATCCTTGTAATAAAACCAGGCACCAATCGCCGAGGCATCATGCCGAAACGAATTCAATTTATCAGCTAAATAAGACCGCACGGACTAAAATCATGCAACCTCAGTCAAACTAGGCCAGAACACAAACGAGGCCCCAGACTGGAGGCCCGCCATAATCCAACAAACATGTGCATAAAAAAACACACACACACACACATCCACACAATTTCCGGCCAATCTCGTAATGCTCCATCACTCGCCCCCCCCCCCCCCCTACATATATAGTGAAACTAGTCGTATTAGCTTTTTTTCTGAATT